GTCTTACATAGAATTATACCAAACAACATGAATCAAACATGCACTTTATTTATTTACACTAAATGTCAAAAGTACATCAAATCGGATTGAAGCTAAGGTCATACAAGACTGTCTAACAGGAGGGCTCGACCTGTGGGGTGGCCTCACATTCTATTGGCCATCAACTCTTACAGAAAGCACGTAGAGCTCGACATATGGGGGTGGCCTCACAATTAGGGAGATTCTGTCCGGGCAAGACTATGAAAACTCGTTTGGGCTAATCATTTTGCTTCTGCCCCCCTAGGGGGTTCTTTCGATCAAGTGTTGTTGTTGTTGCTTGAAGATGTTATTACTTGAGGCTCAGAGAATTGGGTGAGAACATAGCCTTTTGTAGTGTTTCCCAAAGACGACGCCAATTGATGATGCGCATTTCGGCAGCTTCCGGCTGGCACATGACTCGGATGCCTGGCTGAATAATCCCTACCTGGAATGTGGCTTGGATGCCTAGCTAAATGGTTCCTACCTGGAAGGTGGCTTGGACGCCTAGCTTAATGGTGACGAGCTGGAGAGGTGGCTTTAATGCCTAGCTGAATGGTGACGAGTTGGAGAGGTGGCTCTGATGCCTAGGTGAATGGTTACGAGCTGGAGAGGTGGCTCTAATGCCTAACTGAGTGGTGATGAGCTGGAGAGGTGGCTCTGACGCCTAACTAAGTGGTGACGAACTGGAGAAGTGGCTCTGATGTTTTGTTGAATGGTGATGAGCTGGAGAGGTGGCTCTGATGCCTAGATAAATGGTGATGAGCTAGAGAGGTGGCTCTGATGCCTAGATAAATGGTGACGATTTGGAGAGGTGGCTCTGATGTCTAGCTGAGTAGTGACGAGCTAGAGAAGTGGCTTTGATGCCTAGCTAAATGGTGACGAGCTAGAGAGGTGGCTCTGATGCCTAGCTAAATGGTGACGAGCTGGAGAAGTGGCTCTAATGTCCTACTGAGTGGTGACGAGCTGGAGAGGTGGCTCTGACGCTTAACTGAGTGGATATAATGTCTAGCTGAAGGGTGACGAGCTGGAGAGGTGGCTCTAAGTGCCCGGATTTCTTTACTCAGGGTGGGCACTCCGATGCTTAAGTTAGCAAATAAGAGATTTTAAGATAGCTAAATGTGAGAGAGCTGGAGAGCTGGGAGAATAAATTACGCATCTACCTGGGTCTCAGGGGCTAACACCCTTATATAGTTGGGCTGTCGTGGGTATTGCGAAACACTCCCAAAATCCTCAGCCCACAACGTAGGGGTCCATTCTGCTTTGGAGGGAGGATAACGTGCCAGTTAATAAGGCTTACCGTTTCCCTCCGATTCGAGCAAGATGAGGATAAGGCCTACGGTTACGCAACGTGATTCCAAAAGGTTCGGAGACAACTAGCAAGCTTCTAGAGAGGTAGTTCACCAGGTCGGCGACAGAGGTAGATCGCCAGGTCGGCAGCAGAGGCAGGTCGCCAGCTGGGACCCCATTTTGGCTAAGGCAAGTTGTCGCTTAGGTGATGCTGGGATGTTGTCTAGCTGCTCTGATATGCCATGTGTCATGATGTTAGTGAAGGGCCAAATCTGCCCTCATCAGGTGCTTACATGGAACTCGATTATTTTGACAAAAAGAAATTATAAGAGTACAAAGGAAATCCCCATCCTCTACGATCATAAGAAGCAGCAGCAACAACAACAACAACAACAACAACAATGAGGATGGAAAACCCAAAAAGAACGGTAACATAGCACCAACAACATGAAAGAACCTACTTGTCACTAAAGCGGGTAGGACGAATTGAGGTGGGATCAGATACATGCCTGGCGAAGGTAACTAGATAGCGAAGCCTAAAGGGTAGTAGGAACATAAAGTGGAGTGGTCTGGTCGTGGTTTCGGCGAACAACCACAGCAATCGAGTGGTTGAGAACATTGGCTGCCCCCGATGTTAGAGTTTGTTGGATCATGCTAATCCAGCTCTCATGGTTCCAAACAAATCTCACCCCCCAAAAAAATAATGACCCATTCGAAGTCAACCAATTCAAAGTTAAAACCCGAGAAAAAGCTCTATCTGAATTTCATTAGATTCTCTTCTTCTTCAAACCCAAAACCCAATTCAAATTAAACCCAACAATCTAAATTTGTCTATCTGCATCCATAAACCTAATAAACTGTACTTGAAATCTTTCAACTCCAACAAGAGCATCAAAATAGGTACAATCCTTCTTCAACAAAAGAGAGTAGAAATTCAACTCCTCACCTGCATTGTCTTCTTATTTGCCTATGTCCTTAATGGGTCTTGTTGTTCTTCCCCCTATTAGCAGTAGCAAAACATGTACAATCAGGGGTTCCCTCGAAGGCTGTTCTGGCTTCTGGGTTTCAGTTTTGTAAGTAGGGGTGGCAACGAGCCAAGCTTTTCACGAGTTGCTCGAGCTTGGCTCGGTTTCAGCCAAGCTCGAGTTCGAGCTCGAGCTTAATTCAGTGGCTTGATTATTAAACAAATCGATCTCGAGCCTACTAGAGCTCGGCTCCTGAGGCTCACGAGCCAGCTCATATATATATATATATATATATATATATAATTATAGAAAATAATATATATTATAAAAATATTATAATTATTAATTATTATAATTTTTAATTTTTTAAATATAAAATAAAAAAATTATATATAATTTTTATTTTTATAAAATATTTTTATAATAAAATATAAAACGAACCGAGCTCGAGCTCAAGGTTCTGCTCGAACCGAGCTCGAGCCTTATAGAATAGTCTCAAGCCGAGCAACCTGGTACTATTCAACTTGGCTCGGCTCGAATCCACCCCTATTTGTAAGTTTCATAAGGTGTGAACGCTTATGAAAGGACAAATTCACACTTTTTTTGTATTTCTATGGTTGACGTGAATACATGAATCCATAACTAGCTCAACATTGGAGGTTGTTAGAGATACAATACGATTCATAGGAAAATTATATGATAGGTGAAGGACATTTTGGTTCTTTTACATGATAATTAACGTCTATTAACGGTTTTGGATCAACTTAATAGTTTTTAGAAGTTTAGGTACTACAGTGGCACAATTTGAAGTTTGGATACTAACTTGACACTACACCTAAAGTACAAGGTACTAATATGGAATTTTCCCTTAATTTTATTATAGAACCACTGATTGTGTGTATTCATTATTAACTCACCAAACATTATCTTCAATCATCTAACTCTTTCATGGGGCGAAGCATTTCCCGAAGTACGTCAACTTTCTTCACTCTTTGGTAAGTTATTTATCTAGGTAAATGCACTTACCCAAATAAGTGTTTCCTGTGAAACACTTACCTATATAAGTACATTTACTCGTATTCTTTTATTTTCCAAGTAAATAAAACAATGGCAAATTTCTTAAACTACCCCTACTATTTAGCTAATTAACTAAATATACCTTTACTGTTTAATTATTGTCTTGTACCACCCCAATGTTTCTAACAATTACCTAAAACCTCCCTTACCATTAATGATCCGTCATAAACCATTTACATGTGACATCATGTGATTGTTATATTTTTAAAAAATCCCTAACTTACCCCTTTATTGTTGGAAGTGGCCTTTTGAGTGAGTTCGGCTTCGGCCAGGCAAAGCCCGTTCGAGCAATCTTTACAACTCTCTGCATTGAGAATATCTCCGTACTTGTATGCTTTATTTCATGGGGAGATATTCCCAATGCAATGTTGCAAAAGGCGGTGGGAACGTTGTGGGCATGAGCTTGCTCTGATGGAAGCTAGTCTCCTTTTTGGTTTGCCCTCTCTGGAGCTCGTAGCTGGTGAAAGGGAGTATCCTAGCTCTGTTCTTCTCCTTTATCTAGTCGTCTTTTCCATTTCGTTTCAAGGCCGACGTGAGCTTGAAGTAATACCAGGTGGTGGCGATGGTGTTTTACGTATGAGGAGATTTTGCCCACAAAATTTCTTCATTTTGAAAAGATTTTTCCCAATAAGGACCATTGAGAAAGGTCGATTTTCTAGAGGGCCCACAAAGTTGTTATGGATTTTTTCAAAGACCACCGAGAAAGGTTGTGAGGTCAAACCTAATGGAGAAAGGTTGTTATGGATTTTCTAGAGGGCCCACAAGCATCACCATCGTTACCTTCTTAACAAACATCAATTTTAGCGTGCTACTCCAATTTCATTTTGGGTTCCAATTTTATCAGCAGTGCTTCCAAGAAACCGATGGTTTTATCATTCCCAAGTGTGGCCAAACATATTACTATTTAACATACCCTTTGAGTTTCTCCTTCAAAACCAATGTACTCCATATTCCAGTCTATGTATTTTTTTTCCTTGTCTAAGAATCTGAGGAGAAAAATGAATTCTATAATTTGAATATATAGAGAATACAGGTTGGTATGGCAAAGTCCAGTTGGCTAACAAATTTTACAACAAATCAAAATGGCATAACCGTCTTCAAGATTGTAATAATCCCCCTCAAGTTGGAGCATGGACACCCAACTTGGAAAGTAAATGATGGAGGTGATCTCGCCCTAACGCTTTAGTGAATATATCAACTAGTTGGAATTGAGAGCTAATGTGAACTGTGGTGATAGCCTTAGAACGTAGATGCTCTCAAATGAAATGTCAGTCAATCTCAATGTGTTTGGTGCATTCATGAAACACGGGGCTGGCTGCAATGTGAAGCATAGCTTTGTTGTCACAAAAAAGGTGCATAGGCTGAGAATGAGTAAGTTCTAAATTAGCAAATAGTTGCTTTAACCATGTCAGCTCGCTAGTGGCTGCAGCCATGGCATGGTATTTCGCTTCTATTAAAGAGTGGGAGATTGTGTTCTGCTTCTTAATTTTCCACGACAAAGGAGAGGATCCTAGGAAAGTAATCTAGCTCAATCTGAATTGCAATAGGCGCGAATGAGTAAGTCACTTGAGGAAGACAATAAAATACCATGCTCGGGGGAAGACTTTTAGTATCGAAGCACATGCATGGTAGCTTCAAGATGACGTTGTTGAGGATCCCCCATGAACTGGCTGAGGGTATGGATGACATAGCTGAGTTCTGGCCTTGTAATGGTTAGATAAATGAGATGACCAACCAGGCACCAATATCGATCAAGATCAAATATTGAATTTATAGAATCAAGCCCAAGATGATGTTGTTCCATTGGAAAGGAGTTGGGCTTGTAGCCCAACATACCAACTTCTTGAAGAATATCCAATGTGTATTTGCGTTCACTAAGAAACAATCCAAAAGATGAGCGGGATATTTCAAACCCAAGAAAAAACTGTAGATGGCCAAGATCCTTTATAGGAAAGCAATGGTTGAGATATTTCTTGAGGTCATTAATAGCAATAGGATCATCACCTGCGATGACTAAATCATCCACATATGCAAGTACAACTAGGAATGAACCCGACTTGCATTTAGTAAAGAGTGCGTTGTCAACCAATGATTGATGAAAACCACATTGTTTAAGAGCATGAATGTGTGTTTCAAACTAGTTCCTCGATGCTTACTTGAGCCTATAGATAGATTTATTCAATTTGCACACGTGTGCTTTTCAGAAGAAGCAAACTTAGGGGAGGAAGAATATGCACCTCTTCGTGAAGATAGCCATGAAGAAAAGCATTGTTTACATTCATTTGATGAAGTTCCAAACCTTTGGCTACAACAAGTGCTAATAAGCAATGTATTGATACAAATTTGGCAACTGGGGCAAAGGTCTTAGCATAATCAATGTCCTCTCTTTATGTATGGCCTCTTGAAACAATGCGTGCTCTGTAATGCTCAATTGTACCATCATGCTTATACTTGATCTTGTAAATCCATTTGCATCCGATGGGCTTTTTGTTAGGTGGCAATCTGTCAAAGTCAATGTATAAGTATTTTAAAGTGTTGACAATATTGGGAAGATGGGAATATTGTTAGGTGGCAACTCTGTCTGAGAATATGTGGTGGGCTTAGGTGGTTGAATAGTTTGGGAAGCTAAGCAAGAGAGTAGAAAATTAGATATGGGATGGCTAGTGGATGAAGTCCATGGGCCAATATTGGGTCTAATGATGGGATAGATATAATCAGAAAGATGGGTTGGGATGCGTTTATCACACATTGGCCGAGAGGGGCCTACTGCAACATGTGTGGGCTCTGGCGAGTTGTGATCAGGTGTGGGCTCAATTTCTTGTAAGCATGGGGTGGTGGTAGTCACTTCAATATTGTAAGGCTCAACTGTATGGATGGAGTCTGCAATAATAGAATCATGTTGAAGCATATTATCATCATCAGCTTCTGGTGTTGGGATGATTGGAATGTGTGTAGTAGGATCCAAATATTTTTCATTAGAATAAGGGAACAAGGTTTTCAAAGAATTTGACATCATATGAAATAAATAGTTGATTTGTTTCCATGTCAAGGAGTCGATATCTCTTTTGTCCATGTGGATAGACCAAGAAATACAATGCTGGGATCGAGATGCAAACATATCATGGCCATGTTGGATTGTGGCAGCATAGGCAAAGCAACCAAAAGTACGAAAATGGGTATAAGGAGTGTGACCATATAATATTTCAAATGGAGTTTTTCCAGAAAGAAGAGGGGTAGGGAGGTGGTTGATGATATACGTCGCTTTTAAAATGCACTCCCCCCCCCCAGAATTTTATTGGTAGAATGGACTGAAATCTTAAGGCCCTAGCTATCTCCAGGAGATGCCTATGCTTCCTTTCCACTACCCCATTTTGTTGTGGGGTTTCCACGCAAGAGGTCTGCTATATGATACCATGATTAGCCAAGAAATCTTCATGGACCTGAAGAGAAATTCCAAACAATTATCAAAACAAACATATCAAACTTTAGTGTTAAATTGACTATAGCACAGAACATCACAAAGTATGAGTAAGCTTCAGATTTGGATTTTAACAAAAATACCCATATAGCCCGTGAATGATCATCAACAATCGTCAAAAAATACTATGCACCAAAGAGAGATAGTATCTTGTAGCCCCCCATATATCATAGTGAACAAGATAAAAATAGAAGCAGGACAAGTGTTACTAATAGGAAATGATAGGTGTGTTTGTTTTGCACAAATGCAAGTCCTTAATGGAGGCCAAACGTTCATAGGATGCATGTCCAAGCCTAGCATGCCATAAACTAGAGGAATCAACTCCGCTTTGTAGAGTAACAACTGGACTTATTGGCAAGTAGTATAATCCATCACACAGAAGACCCACCTCAATTAGTCTCTTGGAGGTCAGGTCTAGCAATATGCATAAAGTGAAAAAAAATATGATAGCACAATTAAGCTACAATGTGAGTTTACTGATGGAGGCTAGATTGTAGCAAAAACTAGGGACAAATAGCACATCCTTCAAGATCAGTTTAGGACTAAGAGTTACATAACCCCTAGATTGGACTGGTAAACAAGTCCTATTTGGTAATTGAATTGGTCATGTGCCAATATCACTGGTGGTATAAAGATCAGATTGATAGGGTGCCATATAATCTGTGGCTCCACTGTCTTGTAGCCAAACATCTGAATTCATAAACCAGTTTAGTTGAGTAACCTTACATGAAAAGTTGGACATGATCGACTTTCCACCATTGAGAAGGTTGAACAGTTGTTGATATTGTTCATATGAGAGGTTGGCTATCGATGATATTCTAGTGTTCAAACTGGTAGGTTGATTGGCAGTCGAGAATTTTGAGTTAGATGGATTTCTAGGTGGCTTTCCTTTTGATCTCCCCCTTGCTTCCCATTTGGCTGGATATCCAACGAGTTCATATCAACGATCTTTAGTGTGACCTTGTTTCTTACAGTGGTCACAACGTAGTCGGGGTCGATCATTGCCATTCTTGGAGCTTCCAACTCTTGGTGTTGCTGCATTCATGGATGCGGCCTCAATTGTTGTCACTTGCTGACTCACCAAATCTTGATGTTTTTCTTCTTGCAACATCAAGGCATAGACCTTTGCTACGCTTGGGAGTGGTTCCATACTGAGCACACTAGATCTGATGGCGTTGAACTTCTCACTTAGGCTGAGAAGAAATTGATAAACACGTTCTCTTTCTCTTTCAGCAAAGAACTCTTTCACAAATCCTCCGCAGGAGCAGACCGGTGTGCCAGAGAAGGTTGCCAACTCGTTCCACATGCCTTTGATTTTGGTGTAGTACACAGATACAGAGATATTTTATCACTTCAGTAACGCAAGATCTCTCTTCAGCTAGAAGATACGAGGGGCATTGCCCTGAGAAAATCAGTGTTCCATATCAAGCCAAATCTCGTAGGCATTCTCCACATAGATTATGCTCTAGTGTAGCTCTTGAGCAACAACATTAAAAATCTAGGATGTCACCATCGAGTTGCACTTCGACCATGCATGCCATTCTATTGTCTTCGCGGGATCTAGCATCTTGATTGTGCTATCAACGAATCCGACTTTGTTCTTGGCACCAAGTGCGATGATCATAGCATGTTTCCATGTTTGGTAATTCTCCCCTGTCAATAGGCAAGAAACTAGGGCGGTGCCAGGATTATTGAAGGGGTGAAGGAAGAATGATGACAGTGGATTTGCAATTTTGTCGATGATGTCCTCATTTCCAATCTCTAGTGCCATTTTCGCACTTCGTCACACTGTCTCAGACGAAACTCAGAGTTTGAGTGAAAAATGAATTCTATATTTTGTATTAACATTTTGGAGAATATATAGAGAATACAGGTCGGTGTGACAAAGTCCAGTTGGCTAACAAATTATACAACAAATCATGACGGCTTAACCATCTCAAGACTGCAATACCTTCAAAACCGATGGTATGATAACCATATCACTTCGAGTTTCAGAGGTTTGTACATCTTGCATCATAACTTTGTTATTCTTTTGGTTGGAAACCATTGGCTCTACTGGCTCATCGTCTGTAACACATCCTTTGGTTAGAAATCTCTTTACACATAATATTTCAGTATTGTTTCTTCTCTCTACAAGTTTTTTGAACTCACCCAGTTCGATTCAGTCGTGTCATCGATTAATATCTAAGAATGTGGGTTTTTAATTTGTTTAAGTTTTATGCGGCAGAGGTTCTTGCGGCCTGAATCGAAATCGACAATGCCGTTGCACAAAATGTTCAAAATCAAGAAGAAGTTCGCCGAGAAGATGAGGCAAAATAGGCCCATCCCTCATTGGATCCATACGAGGACCGACAACACCATTAGGAACAATTTCAAGCACAAGCACCAGCACCACATGAAAGTAAGGTTTGAGGTGGATGATGTTTCTATGTTTTCCTTTTGGACCATTTTTTCATTGAATTTAGGATTTTAGTTATTGCAAGCCATGAATGAATAGCACTCTTTATGTATTTTGCACATTAATCAACTAAGAACTCAACTAAGCCCACTTCACAGGCATTTTGATGAGATTAATTAATGTTTGAATGATGAGTTAAAAAAAAGTAAGAAGACAAGATGAAAACCGATAGTTTGAGAGGTTGAACTTTCATGGAGATTTTAATTTTGGGGATAGAAGTGGGATTCTGAGGGCCCCCTGGTTTCCTTCGTTTGTTCTGTAACTTCTGTTTGCATTGCAGAGAAGTGAAACATTGATGATGGCGATGATGTTGAATGTGTTATGGACACAATGATGCTCCTCCAGATAAACATAGTGGTTTAATTATCAAAATGTCTTCAAATTCCATTGAAGCAGGTCTCCGATAGATTTTTGGCTCTCGTTGCTTAAAAAAAAAGCAAATAAAAGCCTTGATGTTCATTCTACCCAAGAGCAACCAGTGGAGAGAGAGAGAGAGAGAGAGAGGCTTTAGTGTTTAACGGAGACGAAGACAGAGCAACAATCTACTTCCTAATCCTGGAATTTTTTATCAGTTGAGTTTTATTTTGAAAATTTGAGGAATAGTGAATGGCAAATTAGACATTTTGTTTTTTCCATCAATACTTAATGATGATGTCAACTGTTAGAAATAGTAAGAGTACTTTAAGACAATAGGTAAACAGAAAGGGTAGAGTAAGAAATTTACCCATAAAACAAAAACTATTTTAGACAAAAATCTATTATTAAAAGGGGTATTTTTGTCCGATTCAAGTGTTGGCAACTTTCCCCTAGGTGGAAAAATTATTTACCCACGTAGGAGATGGAGAAAATAAAATTTACTTAATCCCCACAAAATATGAAAAAAAAACATGAGTTTACCAATTTTCCCCCTCTCAAAATTAAAAAATCAATGCCCCCTTTAAGCTACAATTGGAGTTGCAGAAGTCACGATGGCCGATGGGAATTTAGTTCCACTCTCTACTCTCTAGTCTCAAAGTCTCAAACCATTAGGCCAACAGCATGGAACCCAAATGATTAACAAAGAAACCCCAACCCCAGAGTTTCCAAATCCCACTCCCCTAAAGAGTAAAGAATTGAGCTCAAATAGAAGAATCTCAAAACTTTGCCATCTGCCCCAATTTCCAAATTTCCATTTCTGGCTGCTTGCGCAGTTTTTAATTTAAAAGCCATGCCCCATGCCACATCCCGCAGGTATGTTTTTATCTCACGACCTGTTTACGGGCTGGGTTTCAGGCTCATCTTTATAGTGTTTTAGGCTCGGGCCCATTTCAAATGATTCCGACCAAGTAGTGTGTAAAATGTAGAATCATGGCTATTTGTCACCAAGGTAAGAAATACTGTAATACTATTATCCTAATTCATCCAAAACAGGAGTTGGTGCCAACAATTAAACTTTGTTGATGCATGTAATGGCCATCATATGATTCCTTTTCCTTGGTGATGAATCAATTTTTGGTGAAGTATCAATTTTTGGTGCTAAGTACCTCGTCATTCGGTCTGCTTCCAAGTGGCTGATGACTCAGAAGCCGAAGTGGAGAATTTTGTTGAGTGAGGACCTAGAGGCCGAGCTGCCTATTAGGTGTCGAGTTGACCATAGGGTCGAGCTGCATATTAGGTGACGAGTTGACCAGAGGGCCAAGCTGCCTATTAGGTGCCGAGCTGACCAGAGTACCAAGCTGCCTATTAGGTGACGAGCTAACCAGTGGCGAGCTGGATTGATTGTTGAGTTTCGTAGTTCTTTAGAGACCTGCAAGGAATCAATGTCGAGGACCTAGGGTGGCTAACCCGGCAATGTCGCTCTGATGATTAAGTCAGTACTCTCATAGTAGACTGCAAGCTAAAAATCATGAAGTATGAGAGCTAGAGTATGCTTACTTGCCCCCCCCCCCTATGCCATTGGGGTTGGTGCCTTTATATAGGCATTGTTTGGCGTGGGCTTCACACACCGCATCCGAGATTTCAGAGAGGTCGCCTAAGAGGTCCGAGATTCCCGGAGGCAACCGCCATGCACGTTGACCACCCTCTGGAACGTTTGGTACGTGGGCCAACTTCCAAGGATCGTGGGAGTGTTGGGATAGGCATGTCGAATTTGTCGGCGAGCACGCCTCGTAGGTCGCCACCTAGACCTCAATCAGGCCGGCATGCCCTCGAGGGAGGTCGCTCCTTGCGTCGAGGTCACTTCGGCTAGTGATGAGGTGCTACAGGTCGGCCTTAGACGAGGTGCTTCTTGTCGACTTGAATTGTGGTCGAGGTCGCCAGGTTGGCACCTGTGCAAGGTCACCAGTTCGGCGCCTGTGCCAGCTCAGCAGTTCGGCGCCTGAGCCAGGTCGCCAGGTCGACGCCTGTGCCAGGTCGCCATCATCTTGGTTAAGGCAAGTTGTTGCCTAAGTGGTTCCGGGTGTCACCTAATTGTTCCGAGATATTACGTGTCGCAATGTCATTGGAGGGCCAAATCTGCCCTCATCAATTGCCCCCCACTCCCGAGCTAAAAGTAACTCGGCGAAGGGAGTAGATTGCTCCTTTTGGCCTGGAATGACTAATTCAATGAGCTCGTAAGCGTCGGTCCAATTTGCTTCTCAAGTTGGAAGAGTCCAAGTGTTTCCAGCCTTGGGGTCTGGGAGCGCCTCGCAGTCTCTCCTTACCCTTGATTTTGCCCATGCCGAAGAGGCGATTGGGTCTTATGTGGCGTCGAGGTCTTTTATCAGCTCAGTACTTTAGCCCTTGGGCTCTGGGAGCGACTCGCAGTCCACTCTCCTTACCCTTGATTTTGCCCATGCCGAAGAAGTGACTGGGTCTTATGTGGTGCCGAGGTCTTTTATCAGTTCGACACTTTAGAGTTACGGCTATGCTGCATCAGCCTCGTTAGTGATGTCGGCCACCCACTCCTACAAAAAGCTACTGGGAGTTCGACCTACGGGGCAACACTACTAACTTTAGGTCACCAGCTCGCACGGGAGCCCTCGAAGGCTCGACCGGAAAGGGCATCCATGCAGTCCGTTGGCACAAAGAGCTCATCTTGTAGAGGGTACCTCGCAAAGAGGACTGATGAGGCTTTATCCGAGTTGAAATAAAGTTGGCAGAGCTACTTAGTTTGTTGGCTATCAACTTCCTGCTTAGTCTTTGAGTTCATAAAAAATGGAAATTAGAAAGTGAGAGCTTTAGTTTCTAAAATGTGAGAACTTAGCTTTCTGGAAGAAGAAGACTTAGCCTTTCAGAAGATGCGAACATAACTTTTTGTAGCGTTTCCCACAGACGACGCCAATTGATGTTGCGCGATCTGACTGCTCCCTGTTGGAGGATAATCTGGCTTCCAATCGGACGACGAGCTAAGTAAATCTGCAAAATAAGACGAGAACCTGGGGTGGCTAGCCCGACGAGGTCGCTCCGATGCTTAAGTTAGTAAGCTGTTACGAGCTGAAATAGCTTTGAGAATGTAGAGAGCTAGAGAGCAGAGAAATCACGCGTACCTTTTGCCATTGGGGTTAGAGCCTTTATATAGCTGAGTATTCATGGGGCACACGAAAGAGTTCCAAGATATCCGGGATGTGGAGATGGAGTTCGCTCCGCTTCCGAAGGAACAACATATAGGTAAGGCTTATCTCATTCCTCCTCCAATTCCGGCAGAGTGAGGATAAGTGCTTATCGTGATCTCGGAAAGGTCGGGGTCTGTTAATTTATCGTGATCTCGAGGGATTCGGGAGTCGTTGGAGAGAACTCTAGAGTTGGTTACGTGTCGATTCGAGCTGCTGGTTCCGAACTGGTACTTCGGCCTTTTAGTTCCGAACTGGCTTGAATACCAAGGTGGCTCTGCTCCAAGGTGATCCTTAAGCTGTGGCATTTGTGCCAAGGTGACTGAATACGCGAGCTCCATTGTTGCGAACTGAACTTGTCAGGTTGAGTTGTCATTTCTTGGTCAGGTCGTATCCACGTATCCCCTTTTTACTAGGTCGGGCCAAATCACCCTTCATCTCTTGGTCTGGTCAGCTCGTCACCTAATAAGCAGCTCAGCCCTCTGGTCAGCTCGTCACGTAATAGGCAACTCGACACTTTGGTCAACTCGTCACCTAATAGGCAGCTCGGCCCTAGTAAGCTCAGCACCTAATAGGCAGCTCGGCCCTCTGGTTAGCTCGTCACCTAATATGCAGCTCGGTCCTCTGGTAAGCTCGTCACCTAATATGCAACTCGGTCTCTAGGTCCCCACCCAGCAAAATTCTCCACTTTGGCCTCTGAGTCATCGGCCACTTAGAAGCAGACCGAATGACGAGGTACTTAGCACAAAAAATTGATACTTCACCAAAAATTGATTCATCACTTGGTATCTCAGAGATGAGTCAATGAAGGCGCCCCCCCTAATGGATCATATTGAAGTTAAACCGTTACGAGATTCTAAATGAAATCATCCAATGATGTTTCCAAGATGCCCCACCAATGAATATCAGGAATGGTGGCCATACAATTGTTTGATTCAGTAGACAGATTCACGAGTACGGAGTACCTCGATTGATGTAAATGGAATCGAGAGAGGAGCCCAACTGAATGATCGGGATGAATGCAGCACTTCTCAAAAACTAAAATAACATTGAATAAAGAAGGGCTGATGCACCTGTGAATGTATGTTAAAAAACATGCATACATCTTGACTACAATCTTGTGGTCATCTCCTTAGATCCCCCCCACCTCCGGAGCCCCCAACATTACTAATTTACACCATGGTGTCTTGCAGAGTGGTACTTACCACAAGTAACTACTTCATCTTTCCAGAACTTACTTTATACAAATTTTTATTACATACAATCCGCAAGAATCGTGAACTAATGTGATCGTGGAGAAAAATCTGGACATACCTCAAAAAGTGATTCTTTTAAAGTGGTAACTAGACCTCAGAATAAATACATGTTGGATATGCCGCAGGGTGCTTCAAAAAATTCCTCTTTCCACTTCAGAATATGTAAGATCAAATATTTGCCTCGAGGATGAAGAACATGCCATTGTCAATTGTAATGAGAAACATGAATGGCCCCTTATCATAGAACTACAGGAATGTCATGAAAGCCATCAAGAAAGCAATGAGAAGTGGAACCAACAAATCCTCTCTGGAAGGACCTGCAAAACAAGTATTCAGAGCAAGATTAATCCTTGGCACTTGACAGGTATTAGAGACATGGAGCTTTTGACAATATCAGGTCAAGCTATATTCATAGAGGGAGTAATGTGATTGGAGTTGCAATAAAAGTGACCTTATATTTTTACATTCGCTTGGATTTTTTAGAATTTTCTTTTTCATGTCCTTCAGTGATTAGATTGAGATAGTTCAAAACATTGCCAAATAAATGTTTTATGGGAAAACAAGAAATCGTAAACTAATTGGGTAAATATTTTGCAACGTAAAAAAATTGGGTAAATATTTAAATTGAAGTATCTATCAAACATTTAGATGAGTGTGAGTTCATAGTAAACTTAAATTGGACATGCAGCTTACTTGATAGAAAAGATCTTATATGAGATTGTGGTTCATGTCATAATGCTTGGAGTCTGTGAGAATGAGACGTTTTTTCTCCAAAGGATTTTTATGAGCCAATAATTCCACTAAACCTCCTGTTAATTAAGAACACCATGACCTAATTCCACTAAGACTCCTGTTGCTTAAGAACATCATGACCTCTAGCATCATCAACATTATCATCCAAGCCTTATCTCAACTTCATGTAGCCAAACCCCATTTAGTTGGGCAAGGCTTGGATGATGATGATGATACAGGTCATGATATTCCTAATTAACAGGAGGTTTAATGGAATTATTGGCTCATAAAACCTTTTGAAGAAAAAACATCTCATTACCACAGACCTTAAGCACTATGACATGTACCACAGTCTTATAATAAGAGATGTTTAATGCTACTGATGACAAACAAATTAGCTAACTGATTAATTGAGTAGTGAGTCATGGACTCATTAAGAGCACAATATATTGAAAAAGGTATATTTTTGTACTGAATGAGTTAGAAGAACAAGCTGTAAATAATTGTATGATGGTTTAGCAGATGAGCTAAAGAAATATGCACACACCACTAAGCATTACTTGCAAGACAGATGTAAACGTAAGTTCTTATATAGGAATAAGAGCAAAAGAGAACCATAATGGAATGCTGCAACAATTGTAGGATAGTTTAGAGGATGAATTACAAGAATATGCATTAGCCATTAAAATTCAATGTATATTAGTCACATAGTAGGCTACCAAGTCACCAACTTCAAGTGCAAATAGACAAAAAGGGTCATAAAACAACTATATTCTACATGAATCTGGAAAGCATTATGTAAACTCTATATGGTGTGTGTAAACTCTATATGGAATTTCGATAAAGCCAGGCTTCTAAACTTTTCCAGTAGAATCATTACACAGTTTAATCTCAACTCAACAAAACCTTATCCTAACTATATATGATTGACTGCACAGAGTCCAGTCTACTTTTCCTATTAATGAGAGAGAGAGAGAGAGAGAGAGAGAGAGAGAGAGAGTCCATTACTTGCTTGTGCAGATGTTGCAGCTGGAAGTGCTGGAAGTTTGATTGCTGCAATCCCATGAGTTTACTTACAGTCAATTTTAGCAATAATTCAGTAAGAAAGATGCCAATCAAGATCTAAAGCTATAGGCAAAGATTACTCTTTTATGGTAAAATCGTAAAAGGGAAGAGATTGCTTTAAACATCAACACAAAACACTCTTATCCATGGATAACCCCATTTTGTTTTATCAAAATATGATAGACACACAGAAACAAATATACAAAACCCAATCTGAAGGAAGAATATAGAGTGTGCAGCATACTCTTATTGCAGGAAGAAGATGGTATTTGAGATGTAGAGGGCCAAGGAGCTGCAATGTTGTCATTCAAATCACAGAGGAAGCTGATTCCTGAAGACTTGTCAAATGTTGCATCTGAAGGCAAGCTTGGCAAAAGGCATCCAGACTCTAAAACAAAAATGTGGGAGAAGGTTAGTATAAACTGCAATTAAGAATAGGGTAATCCAAGGACTTCCCAATAAAACTTAGGAGATATTAATAACAGGTACAAGATACTAACTGCAATTCAAACTCAAACTATGTTAAAAAAATGACAAAACAAGACAAGTACAAAGGATCAATTGTATCCATGGGATATGGCATATAGTCAGGATAAAAAAAAATACATTACTTATCCAAAAAAAAGAATCAGGAGATACACCTGTGGCATCAAAATCAACCACTAGGGAGAAGACATCAGCTAGAGCTAGCTAGTTGATGTATTTTTTAGGAAGGACTGAGATCTAGTCCAAATCCCTTTTTTCAACCGCTTATCAATTACCACTAATCCACTTACCCACCAAAAATATAAAAAATGAAATAAAATAGAAGTGAAGCATACTTTTTGTTGTACACCTGCGACTTGCAAATATACTTTTAACTTACACTCAGAAAATTATGCTTTTAAGTGACAAACAAACTATCATGTCAGATATTCTCTAACTGTATCAAAATGATTCAGTAAAAGCATTTAGAATTGTCACAAATATTTGAAATGCTAAGAATTAAATAGCAAAATCCAATTTATGGTTCATAGACCCCATAACACACCATGTATATCATATCCAGCGAATTGGAACCAAATTGGTCCGACCAAAATCAACATGATGGCATGGATTCCAACCATCTGGTTTGTTGCATTATTTCAAGAGCATTTTTGGACTTCAAGATGTTTTTTCCACCATTCAAATAAATCCGTTGAAGGTGTTGTAAAGATCAACTTTGATGGCAACAGTATGGGGAAACTAGGTCCTTTTGGAGTGGAGGGTGTAGAGGGATGGAAATTAAATGGTTTTAGCAATGTTTTCAGCTCCAATAGTTAATGAGAAATTGAGAACTCTCTAAGAGCAGAGCTGTTGGCAGTATTAGAGGGATTGAGGCTGGAAAAGAAATATTAACATGGAAGAAGTAGTGATAGAAGGTGACTTAAAGATGGTAATTGGCTGGCTGAAGCATAATGACCAGGGATTGTAGCAGTACAGGTAAGACCTAAAGGAAATTAAGCGGCTGACTAGACACCTAGAGGAGGTTACTTTTCAATGGGTTCCTAGGTCAGCAAATGGATTGGCTAATCTGCTAGCCAAGCAAGGGGTAACTAGGGATCAGTTATTTTGCACTGAATTGTAATATGTGATATTAAGTAGGGAGCATGCTGGAAGCCTGGAATATCTAGCCTACTGTTATGTCAAATAAGCAAGGAGAGAAAGGAATTCCTCAAAAAATAAAGATAAAGATAAAGATAAAGAAAAGAAAGCAAGGAAAATGTTATGTAGAAGCATCACTCAAGAATCCATGGAGCATTGGAATCTGGCATGAACACTTCGTCCCAAGCAACACTTGTTCTATTGGTAACCAAGAAGAATTTTTATGACAAACAAAGAGATTCGGGAAAATACAATTCAAAGAAATGCATAATATTAGAACTTCCTTGCCCTTAAACAGGGGTTCGGTGAGAGGAGGTTTAAAAAAAGGAATGAAGCACATAATAAATAAAATGGTATTTTGGCTAGAAAAACACTCTGCGAAAAAAAATAACAGACCAGCTTCATGAAATCAAAGAATAAAATTCAAATATATAGAATGTCAGAGATTACCTTGTGACCCAACTGATGTAGTCAATCATATGTTCCATTGTATCCAAACAGTCGAAAGAAAAACGAATAAAGTATCAGTATCAAATACTGTTAAATTATTAAATGTAACACTGGAAAGTAGCTTTTCCCATGAGAAGGGAACAAAGAAACAAAACTAACCCTGGAGAGAAAAATCCTTGAGTGTGATATGACATAGGCTATAAACGTTTTTGGTAATGTTGGCTTTCTGCAACTTAATGCCAAGCATTGCGGCACAGTTAAGAGCTTGCAAGTTGGTTATGAATCTCTGCTTTTGCAAGTGAGATACATAATTTTCCATGGCACTGCAGCAAGCTGACTGGTTACTTATCCCATTCCCACACTCCTTTGCAACATTTTCTATGCCAGGAAAAACTAGTGGACAGACTAAGGCAGGAGAAAAGTAAGCAATATCAGTAAAAGCTTTAGGGTTGGGAACATGAACAATGAGATCAAATAAATTTCATAACATCAAATATGCCCAAAACTCAGAAGTATAGAGGGAAGTTGTTCAGTTAGAACTGAAACCAGTCAGTTTATTCTATTGACAATAACAACAACAATGGTCGTTTAAAAGATGGTGCTGATGAAAAAAAGGAAATTTTAATCGCTATTTAAAAGATGAAAAGGAAAAGCGAGAAAGGTAAACCATGGCACTTTATGCACCAGATTAGGAAGTAAAGAATTTAGCTAATGAAATGGAAGATGTTTTTATCTAGATCCCCCACTCAGCCAAATCTCTTCATGACTCTCTAGCTCAACAAGGAGTAAGCACACAGCACCTGGTTTGGGGTGAATACCCTTCAGAGTAAAGCTGCTTGTACTAAAATTTGATTGTGCAGATTGGAGAGATTCTGGGGATTGGAATTTGTAAAGAGCAGTAAGGAGTTGGTTCCGTGTGTATTTATAGAGACATACACTGTTTACATATTCCTATGTGTATTTCACTAGAGAGAGAAAGAGAAGGTAAAGTATGTATAGTATTAATTCTCAAAAAGCAGAGAAAGAGGGTGGAGATTCCACCGCTATATAGCTGATGATATTCTCAATGTTTTTTTCTGATAGATAATGATAATGAAAAGAGGCGCGAGGTGCAGCCTCCAAACTACATCATAAAGCTTACAATTGAGCCCAAAAGAGCTGATTCCTATGTACTCCTTGTTTAGCTAGAAGGTCTGCCAGCCCATTTGCCGATCTTCTTTCCCATTGAACTGTGACTGAAATATTTGAAGTCAGCCACTTAAATCTTCTCAAAGCCCCCCTG